TTGGTGATTTTGTGGAGGAAAGTAGCACTGGGAAGGATTATCTGGAGTACGAGAATATTCATGGAGTCGGTATTGAGGTTGAAAGCGTTTAGCAGGAATGCTCGCTGGATCCTGTCGTTGGCGGGACTCAACACCATCCTTTCTATCAATCGGAGAACTGACCCAGGCAACTTGTTCATTCCATCTGAACCAAAATTCCCTAAAACTTTCCTTGGGTTTCTTTTCCATCTGAGATAGGGAGGACTGGTCTGGGACAATGTCTATATTGTACTGAAAGTGTCGTACAAAATCTTGAGTCTTGTCATCCCATGTATGCCACTTACCGAAATCTTGATGGGTATGCCATTCCAAAGCTGCCCCAATTAGGCTCTCACTGAAATACGTCATCAGCAACTCATCTTTTCCGTTAACACTTCTCATTTCATTGTCATAACCCCTCAAATGGGCTACTAGATCTCCACGTCCATCATACAAATTAAATTTGGCATCTTAAACCATTTCAGCCTTCTGAATATCTCATCTTGCTCCATTGTCTTAGTAGGCTTTGCAGTCTCACCGGGAGGCTCGAAATGAGGAGCGTAAGAGTATGGACCCGAGATCTTGAAAATTGGTTTTGGAGCATAGTGTTGGGCATCGGGGATTTTGAACACAATCTCGCTAGAGGATCGAGGAAGGTAGCAGGTGGATCGGCTACAAAAACATGAGTGGTCAAGGGAGCGGGATAAGAGGTGGTTCTGGGGGGGTGGAGTTTGAAAAGGTTGTGGGCAGATATCCTGGACTTGTGACAATGGCATAATGGTGACAAGGCTTTCAGTGTAGTTTGTGGGAACTGATGGTGGAAGACTCCCACTAATCCAGGCTTGGTATATTTCGGTCATCTGTCCTTTCAACCTTAAGACCTCTTCTTTCAACTCAGATTCTGATTCAACAATTTCCTTAGACGGATCAATAACCCCTGTGTCCAAGTCTTTGCTAGCCATGACTACCTTATTCTTTGACCTTGTGTTGTACGGATGAGTTACTTAGAAACCACCAACCAACCACCCTTCTGCTCAATGAAGATAACAAAAGGAACAAAATTGGGTCATTTTGTTAGCATTAGGGCATTTAACAGCTAAAAATATCACATTGCGTGTAATGCACCTAGCAACAATTAACGGTTCTAGAATGCCTTCGAGGGTCACAAGGTCACTTGGCATCATCCCAATTTTTTTCATTTCAATCTTCTCTTTTCTTTCTTTTCTAGCACTTCTTGGCTTACTCATTCTCCTTCCTCTTTTTCTTCTAATTATCACTCTTTTCTTTCCTCTCATTTCTCACATCCCATAATTTCACCTATCTTTTTTTATTTTTTTTATTTTTCTTTTAACTTAAATAAAATAATTCGATCGAACCCTATGTAGGTTGCCTACGTATCATGACGTCGCATGAATCAGATCTTTGCATAGTTCGGAAAGATCGGGAATAAAGTAAACAAACTAACTTTCTCATTTTCTTTTTCTTTTCTTTTTTATTTTTTTACCTTAATGAATACTCTGATGAGAAATTATTAAGGAAAAACTCCTAGAAGAGAAAAATATTTTTTGATTCTTTTTTTTAGGAAGGAAATCTAAAGGATGAACCAAAGAAAAATAATTTGAATTTTCGTTTGATATCCTGAAAGAAAGATTTCGAACTAAGAAATGAAAAATATAAAAAAATATTTTTGGATTTCAGTTTTGACTACCTAAGAGAGAAACTCTAAAGATAAACAATATATAGAGTCTGTTTTTTCCTTCTCTGTACAATATCCTAAAGTTCTAGTGAAAATACAAAGAATATATATANTTAAAATTAATATCTTAAAGAAACTTCTAAAGGGGTATTAAAAGAAAAATCTCTTTTTTTTAAAATTTTAGTATTAATATACTAAAAGAAACATAAAAGCAAACTTTATTTTGAGTTCTAGATATTATATCAATAAAGGAAAACTACCTCAAATGATTTTTTTTATTCCTAGAATTAGTATTCTAAAGATAACTTCCAACGGAAATATAAAAACGTAAAATTTCTTCTTTTTTTTTTGGATTTTTGATTTATAACACATTTTTCAAATACAAATAGGAAATACAATAACAAAGGACTCGACAAACTTAACTAGACTATGACAAACTCTAACATCACCTAAAAGACTCGACATTACTGTACAAAACTAGAAGGTAAAGGATAACATAAAAAAGAACAACAGACTCAAAACATAATAACTAAAAAAAATCTCCTTAAGCAAACTCTTGAATGAGCGACCCTGACTGGATGGTCCTGGGGTGTCTTTCATGCTCAAACTCCGGTAAGTAAGTCCACACTTGTATGAGAAAATTAAGACCAAATAAAGTTAAAGACCTAGAACGTTATATGAGACAATAACTCTTCCTGTTGGACACATGCAATACATGATTAATTATGACTATTCTTCTAAAATTAACCTATGTGGCTAAAAGTAGATAAAAGTGCAAAATTTGGCTAAGACCCCGCAAAATCAAGAACCTAAGATTCACTAGGAAGACCAGACCCTATGTGGGTTGCCTACGTATCATGCCCTGAAAGACGAGAATCAGGTTCGCGTAGTTCGGGAAGATTGGATACGGGCGAGAATTGAAAAAAATAACTAAATTAGAGAAAGTATATTTTTTGTCTTTTGTTTTGAAAAATGATGAAACATGTAAACTCTTTTTGGATTTTCTTTTTCCTCTTTTTTTGTTTTTTTTTTTTTGAAAAAAATAATGGGAAAGTGCAAAATCTTTTTGGATTTTTCATTTTCATTTTTTAGTCTTTTCTTGAAAAAGCGTGAAAGAAAATTATAACTGGGCCATACTTGCTTTATTTTACGCTTCACACTCTTTTCTTTCTCATTTTCCCTCAACCCGCGTTGGTCCGCCAAATGACCTCTTTTGCCCTTGAAGAATGTTACATATAGCATATAAGATGCATCAAGATGGTCTTTTATGTTTGGGTACACCTGTCCCAGACGGACCCAACCCCTGTGTTGAGTCCCCAAAGTCAAATGCACATGATACAAATAAGTGTTCCTACTAGGGATTCGGCATGAGGCTGAGTTATTCTAGGTTTAAAACCTGGGTGTATTGTTCTAGACTTGGTGTACCCGAGCGGACAACTCGAGCCAAGGGGGGCTACGTACCGGGAACCAAAAGGTCATCTAATTTTGTAACTTATCCGAACCTCTTTATAAATTTAGGGTATGACACTAACAGAAAAGAAGTCACGTCAGTGTACACTTCCCCAAAGATGAGAAGAGAAGGGTTTCGCAGTAGTTTATATACAGTTCAAATAATATCAAAGCGGTAAAAAGTGGCATTTAGCACATTAGGTCCAAACATGTGATACAAATCAGATAATAAATAAAAGTCAAATGTAACAATTATTCTAAGCTCAAATTCTTGAACCCTGAACCAGAGATACTGGGTTCTTGTCTCCAGCAGAGTCGTCAGAGCTGTCACACCTCCTTTTTACTACTCCCGGAAGGGTATAAGGGGAATTTTTTTCAATTTAACTGACAATCGAAACGAGATTATTTATATTAAAATTCAGAGTCGCCACATGGGATAATTTATGGTGTCCCAAGTCACCGGTTTTAAATCCCGAATCGAGGAAAGATTGACTCTGTTTTGCAGTCCGCGAACACAGAAATCCGGGTAAGGAATTCTGTTAACCCGGAAGAATGTGTTAGGCATTTTCGGGTTCCGCGATTTTAGCACGGTTGCTCAACTGTTATTATTGGCCTATTTATCTGATTTTAAAACATCTTTGAAACCTATGTGCATTTTTATTCCTTGTAAACCGCTTTTAATAATCGATTGTCATATAACTAATTTTTTTGTTACACATTGCAAATCATGTCATGGGAACCGTACCTACGACCTACAACATGTTTGTTATATTAACAAGATTAAACTGTGGTCGAGTCACATAAATGTACCCTCGAATTTTAAAATTAAGCATCACAACTACATCATGGGAACTGTACCCGTAGCTATGACAATTATTTTAATAAACGCGCCTAAAGCAAACTACGAGAGTTCAAAGCATTTTTCTACGTTAGTTAAGATATTGATGTGAGGTCCATAGACTATGTGGTTAGATGGCGCACCCCAATTATTTACAAGAATTTGTACTCAACTAAAGCGCATTATGAATGTTCATATTTAAAACTAACTTTTTGAAAAAAAGAAAATCTTCGATTCATTGAACCGAGAAGAAATTACAGAACTAGAACCACGACATGAAAACCTCGCATGACCGATGAAGATGGATAATGATATTATTCAAGTCATTCACCCAGTCCACTTCAACAAAACTTGGGTAATTATTTGAATTAAAGGACTAGCACAAAATTCATTAACTGAGATTTTTCAGCATAAGATAGGCCAGACGCAAAGAAAATGCTAAAGGAAAGAAAGTTTGATAATGAGTTGTAATTAGTCAAACTAATTAAAATTTGTTAAAACTCCTTTCCATTGAAAATCATTTGAACAAGGCGTTAACACCTTTGAAAATAAAATTGTAAGAAGAAATTGCATTTTTTCGTAATTGAAATAACTAAGAAATTATTTAAACACTTAATTACAAAGTTACCATATCTCTGCTGCCAACCAAAATCCAATCCCATTCCATTTATTCACACTTACTTCAATGGCTCATTAACTGCTTCCATTCGAATTAAGTGTCAACACACATCCACCAGACAAGAATTCATAAATTGTTTACAATTAAAGTTTCAACTAAAAATTTAACTCAAATCAACCAATATTCATCGATCAACGTAGCATACCAAGAGTAATATATTCAGTCAATGTAATTCAATCAACTAAATTAGCATAAGTAAATCCAGAGATAAGCATCACAGTACCATCATTGAAATTGAGATTAAAGAGAGAAAATGGACCTTTAAGAGTGAAGCTTCAATGAAATAGAGTCTCCAAGCAAACTTTGTACAGCAATCACGGATGAGTTACAAGAGACAATCACTTACCGACAGGGGCGGAGCCACAGTAGAGGGTGTGGGTTCAGGCGAACCCAGTGACTTTTTCCGAGACCCTATATTTGTATGGAAAAATTTATTGTTTATACACAAATATATCATACCGAACCCAGTAACAAAAGAGGTTTGGGTTCAATGGTAAGAGTTTTGAGTTCGCCTGGAGAGCACGTGGGTTCGAATCCCTTCAAAAGCAGTGTGCTATTTTCTTGTTTTTTACAATTTTTCTTTTTAAGAAAGCAGAAAGTAAACGATGTCGTAACCCCTAGACAACTTCAAAGTCTAAATCACGCTTTGCCTTCCTTTAAACTACTCCATTTATTCTTTTTAGGGAATAAATAAACCATAAGGTTGTCTCTTCTAATCTTCTTAACTCCAAAATCAAAAAAGCTAGGGTTCTACCTCTGTTGATCGCCGGCGCTGCTACCACAATCAGTCGGAGCCGGACGCCTTCCAACTCTCGTAGTGTATGCTTTTTCTCCCTTAGAAGTTATACACTATTTTTCTTCTTCAACTCTTATTTTCTGATTTTTTTTTCTTCATGTTTTCCTCTTATATTTTATATTTGACAATTTATACGAAATCTGATTTTTAATCTTTGATTCTAGGGTTGCCCACATTTTGAACTTCATTCTCTTTGTCAATTTGTGCTTTGGTTCTTTCCAAAATTTCAAACTAGAAGTCTGTCGACAGACAAGGTATGTGGTTGTTGTCCTACTTTCTTATTTTTAGTTTCTTAGTGAGACTAACTTGCATTCACATGGAGTGATATTATGCCTTTATTAAGAAGAAAATATTCATATGTAGTTAGGGGCGGAGCTACAGTAGAGCTATTGCTACAGTAGTAGAAAACCCAGTGACTTTTTCCGAGACCCTGGATTTGTAATTTAGAACCCATACACCTTAAATCCTAGCTCCGCCTCTGCTTACCGAATTCGAAACCAAAAATTAATTCAAGACAAAACCGAAAATAAGTCCGTGAGTGAACCCAGAACTCGAAAACCTCAAACGGATTACCTTTACCCTCCGGCGAGATCCTAGATTTTTCGGTGAATTTTTCTACTCTTACATGTTGTTCTGACTTATTTAAGTCCACCGCCATGATTCTTTCATTCTTCAACTAATTTAAATTTTATCCTAAATTCTACTGTATGCTTCTTAAAGTGAATGAAAGTGAGGTTGGCCAATTTTTGTGGAAAGGCAAGTGTTGTATTTCTATTTATTTATTTTTTTTCAGATGTTGCTGCTAGTGTCCTTCCCCAATTGAAAGAAAAAAAAGATTAAAACATTAGGAGGAGGTGGCTGTTTTTTGGTTTCTCTAGCGATAGAGATCGGATATTCTCTAGGTTATTCCGTTCCTAGCTTTTTTAGGAATTGGGAGAATTTCTCTTCGTTAGCTCTAGGTCTGTTGGTCCAAGAAGATGATGCCTAGGGCCTATTTTATCAAAAACGATGGATCTGTTTTTCTCCCTTAGGGATTTTTTAGGATTTTCCTTTTACTTTGTTCAAAGAAAGAGTCTAGAAGGGTCCCTAGGGTTAGCTTAATAGGTATTGGGTATTAGGCTTAATGGGCTAATCCGAATTGGGCCAAAATTGGGCTATAAGACTCCTAAAATTGTGGTCCAACACCTTAATTGACTCCCTTTAATATAAGATAAAAATACTACACAATGCAAAAACTAATCCTAATTAATTAAACCAAATTATATTAAAACATGAAATTATATATTTTTTTATATTTTCAAGATTATATAAAGATGAAAAATGGGTACTATCTTTGTATTTTTTTAAAAAAAGATTATGAAAGGTACATGAATTAAAAGTAACTAGGTAAAATATTTTTTGTAATTTTCATTTTTGTTATAAAATAAAATAAAATAAAATAGTTAAAACTAGCTGAATTAACGATATTACGCCTAAACTAAATATTTACATGCTAAAATATAAAAAATCTTGGGGAGGGTCAAAAATCGCATGTCTACAGCTGCCCCTCTTTAACTGAAAATTCGAAGAGTTTTCAGACAAAGAACGACTAGACAGGTTTTTTGATCCGACCCTTATTTAGGGAGACCAAAAAAGGAGTGAAAGTCTTTTCTTTTTCCTGCTGTCTTTTCATTTTGTACTCCTGCCTCGGTTGGAACCTCATACGGGTAGGTGGTTGATATGCTTGAGGAGGCAGATACGATATTTGTGGAGGTGGTGCAAGCCATTGCGGGTCTTGTGGGTGTGGAGCATATGGCGGTGCATTGTGGATAGAGTGTTGGGAAAGTGAGGCATGACCTTGGTGATTTTGTGGAGGAAAGTAGACCGACAAATCCGCAAGCTATGGAATAAGAAGGTAACCTCCGTGAAAGTACTTTGTAGGAACAATAATGTGGAAGAATTGACTTGGGAGGCCAAGGAAGACATGAAATCTAGATATCCCTACTTATTTCCTCCTCCGGAGAAGGGTCCGACTGAGACGTCATAATATCAAGGTGCGTGTACGAATTCTTGTGCTAGCTATTGTTATTGATAGTGTGAGGCCGTCGTCGTTATTAATGATTGTGGTCCTATGTGGCGTTAAATTATTGGGTTTCTACAAGAAGAATTGGTAGTAGCGTTGTTACAAAGGCGACTCTACCAAGGTTACATAAATCCTGGAGAGTTAAACATTCGAGGACGAATGTTTCTAAGGGTGGAAGGATGTTACATCTCGTGTTTTCATACGTTAAAATTTCGTTTTCAGTTAACCGACGTAGACTCGGGGATGAGATCATCTTGACGTTAACGTACTTACGCTATTTATAACAAGCGATAAATAAGTGTTATGAAGGATAAAGGGATACACAGATTAAAGAAAATGAGTTTCGTTGAAAGTAGCCAATTTGGAATAAAATACGGTCGAGCGATAATACCTGATAATTATGAACTAGTACCATGCAAGGTGTCATATGACCACGGTAGTATAATATATAAAGTATATATGAAGTACTTTAAAAATAAATAGAATTTTAAGTAATTTGTGGCAATTTTTAAATTATGCAGGTAATTGATTAATTACCGGATAACAAGACATTACCCGATTAACTAATAAGTGGATAAAAAATTTAAATTATACCACCCTCCCACGTGGCACAAGGCCACTAATTAGGAAGGGTGATTCATTAATTCATGTATAGGTGTCTTGAAGATAAGTCGTAAGTAAGACTTATAGAGTCTTATCCATAAGTCTTGGGCAAGAATTGAAACCAATAAGTTCAAATTCAAGAAACAGAAAACCTTTCGTCCACTCTTGCCAAAGTTAGCTTGGCTTGAAGTCAAACACTTGGAAAACAACAGCCAACTCTGAACTACCTCGATTTTCTTAGGATCCACCTTAATACCCTCTCTTGATACAACATACCCCAAGAATGCTACTGACTCAAGCCAAAACTCACACTTGGAGAACTTAGCATATAGCTTCTGCTCTCGCAATGTCTGGAGCACTACTCTCAAATGCTGCTCCTGCTCCCCCAGGCTATGTGAGTGGATCAAGATGTCATCAATGAAGACAATAATAAAGGAATCAATATAAGGCCTGAACACCCTGTTCATCAAATCCATAAACGTCGTTGAGGCATTAGTCAAGCCGAAGGACATTACTAGAAACTCATAATGGCCATATCTAGTACGAAAAGCAGTCTTCGGGACATCTGAGTCCCGAATCTTCAGCTGATGATACCCTGATCTCAAGTCGATCTTAGAGAACACCCTGCAACTGGTTGAACAAATCATCAATGTGCGGCAACAGGTACTTGTTCTTGATGGTAACCTTGTTCAACTGGCGGTAATCAATGCACATCCGCATAGTCCTATCCTTCTTCTTCACAAACAACACTGGTGCACCCCAAGGTGACACACTCGGTCACACAAATCCCTTTGCTAACAACTCCTCAAATTTCTTCTTCAACTCTTTGGAGCTATACGGTATGGTGGGATAGATATAGGCTGGGTACCTGGAGCCAAATCAATATAGAAATCAATATCACGATCTGGTAGCATGCTTGGAAGGTTAGAAGGGAACATATCGGCAAACTCCCGAACTATTAGAACTGAATCAATCATCGAAGACTCTACGGTGGTGTCCCTAACATAAGCTAGATAAGCCAAATGACCCTTCTCGACCATATGTAGAGTCTTCAAAAAAGAAATAACCCGACTAGATGTACTAACTGAGGAAACCTTCCACTCCAACCTCGACAACTCTGACATCAACAGTTTTGGCATGGCAATCTAGGACGGCGTGATATGGGATAACTAGTCCATGCCCAGGATGACCTCAAAGTCGGTCATATCAAGCAACATGAGATCTGTCCTAATCTCAAAACCACATAATGTGACCACACAGGACCGATAGATCCGATGCACAACCATAGAATCGCTCATAGGAGTGGACATATGAATAGGAGTACCCAAGGACTCATGAGGAATATCCAAGAAATGAGAAAACACAGATGATACATATGAATAGGTAGACCCTAGATCAAATAGTACTGAAGCATCCATATCGTAGACGGAAATAATACTTGTGATAACGGGATCTAAGGCCAATGCATATGGTTTGGCCGGAAAAACATAGAATCTGGCTGGAGTGCAGGCTGGCTGGCCTCCACCTAACTGAACAGTAGCTAGCTGACCTCCCCCTGCCTGGCCTCCACCTCTACAATGGCCCTTACCAGTCTGCCCTCTGCCTCTAGGCGGCCGGACAGTCAATGCTGAAATCATGGGCTGCTGACCCTGCTACATTGCCTTTCCCCGAAGTTTGGGGCAGTATCTCCTCATATGACCGAGATCTCTGCACTTGAAACAACCCCTCGGTGCAGTGACTTGCTGCCCTGATATCTGACCCTGATGGCCTGTAGACCCACTGGAAGAAGCCTGAATAGTTGGTGGGCGGTATTCCGGTATAGCACTAAAGTAGGAGCTGGAAAAACCCTAGGGACCTGAATAACCACTAGAATAACCCTAGATGGCTGGCGGGCGGTAAGAACTCTCCGTTATGGCGCTGAAATAGGGGGCGCTGGAGCACTTCGAGGAGGTGGTGATGCTAAATATGGGGGCATGCTGGCCTGACCCCTCCCAAACTGACCTCTACCCCTAGCCGGGGCACCTCTAAACTCTCCGGAGAAACGGGCCCTCTTGTCCTGCTGCATATGCTCTTTAACCCTCTGACGGTAGCCCTCAATCCTCAGAGCAATCTCCACTCCCAGCTAATAAGAAGTCCCCATCTCAACCTCTCGGGCCATGTTGGCCCTAATACCGAAGTGCAACCCTGCAACAAACCTCTGCACTCTCTCTGCGTCAGTAGGAAGTATTATGAGTGCATGGCGAGACAACTCAAAAAACCTCGCCTCATAGTCAGTCACTGAAATCTAACCTTGCTCAAGCTGCTCAAACTGATACTGCAACTCTTCCCTTTCATAGGGTGTAATATACCTATCCAAGAAAGGATGTATGAACTGACCCCAAGAAATGGGAGGAGAACTCGCTGGCCTACCAAGAACATAAGACTACCACTATCTACGGGCCCTGCCCTCCAGCTGGAAAGTAGTGAAGTCAATCCCATGAGCCTCCAATATCCTCATGTTGTGCAGTCTGTCCCTGCACCTATCAGTGAAATCTTGGGCATCCTCATGACGCTTATGAGGATGTAGCCTAGTCCATCTGTCCAATAACTTCTGGTGATTACCGTCTGCAACTGGTCTGGGCTCGGGTACCACTAAGGCAACATGCTAGGCCGCATCCGCAGGTAGTGTGCCTGGAGTCTGATTCACTACGGCTGCATGCCAAGGAGCCTGAGAAATAAGGGTATGTACTCCCCCTACCACCTGAGATGTGGCTAGGTCTATTGGAAATAAACCAGCCTTGGTCATAGAATCCATGAAAATAAGCATACGGCCCATGACCTCCTGAAAGCCCGGTGCTGTCATGAAGTCCGACGGGGTAGGCTCTGCTGCGGGCACCTTGCCATGTTCCTCAATAATAGGATCCCCCGCAGGATCCACCGGTGGTTCAATTGGGGTAGCTCTGGGATGCCCTCTTCCCCTACCTCGGGTCGGTTCCCTCCCTCGGTCTTGGCCTCGGCCTCTAGCAATAGGGGGAGCGGCTCCTTTCGGGTCTGGAACGTCTGTCGTGCGTGTCACCATCTGTGAGAGAATAGAAAAAGGGAAGTTAGTATACCATCAACTGTACGATAGAAGATGAATAAATAGTAGTTTCCTAACACCCTATAGCCTCTTGAAGATAAGTACAGACGTCTCTGTACAGATCCGCAAGACTCTATTAGGTTTGCCCATGACTTGTGAGACCTAGGTGAACCTAGTGCTCTGATACCATATTGTCACGAACCAAATTCCATTATAGAACGTGATGGCGCCAAACACCATTGTTAAATAAGCCAACCCTATTCAACTAGTGAGTTCTCGTTTATTTTAATAAACAATCCCAACATTTACTTAACTTAAATTTAAAGCAGTCGAATTAACAAATTTTTAAGGCAACTGAATCGGGAAAGACTAAAGGGAATCATAATAATAGAAATACAATCCAAAAGTAATAGTCTACTAATGTGTGTGTCAAGATCTAATGTCACAAGTACGAGGGCAACTAGTAGAATGTACAAAAAATATAACTATCCTACTGCCTGAAATAGAATAGACAGTAATAACAAAAGGAGAGACTCCGACATGCTGCTTAGAAGGGGGCAGCTGATCGTGAGATCTCGATTAGGTATCACGAATGCGCGCCGGACGGGTAGCTAGATGCACCTGCCTCAGATCCTGTACAATTAAGTACAGAAGCGTAGTATGAATACATAAACAACATGTACCCAGTAAGTATCCAGTCTAACCTCGAAAAAGTAGTGGTGAGGGGTTGACTTGACACCTACTAGGGTCAATAATAATACAGTTTAAGTGTTACGCTGAGCATGAATAACATGAATACAAATGACAGTCCAAGAGCAAGGAGAAATAAGATATTCTTTCATAAACAACATATCAATTTCAGTCATTTCATGTAATAACTTACATTTCAAAGCATTTAAGTAGTGTAAATTACAGTTAGTTCCATATAAATAACATGCGCACATTGTGCCGAGGTGGTACGGCCCGGTCCAATATAATATTAACTGTGCACTGCCAGAGGATCGTATGGTGTGAATCATAGATGCATCTATTTACTATCGAGGTGCTCGGCCCGATCCACAAATAATAATTTATTATCAAGTAAGCACACATTATCCATTTATAGTCAAGTAATTCATACAAATTCTCAAGTAAGTGAGTATAACAGTCTATATTTATTTACCAATTTCCAGCATGACTTAAGTGATCTTAGTAGCAAGTAAGGACGCAAGCATTTGCAAGTATAGCATGATACAGGTCCTAAATTACCCGGACAATTAGCATAATAGTAGCTACGTACGGACTCTCGTCACCACGTACGCACGTAACCCCCACAGGTAGTTACATACATTTATTTAATTCACCTATGGGGTTAATTCCCTTATACAAGGTTAGAAAGGAGAGTTACCTTGCCCCAAAGCTTACTTCCAAATTCAAGAATACGCTCAAACCCCCAAATTGGAGCCGAACGATCAAAAACTATTCAAATGGGGTAAGAACTAGTCAATATATGCTCAAGAGTTCATATTCTTACTATTAAAGTAATTTCCCAACCTAAATGCAAGGTTCCTAAAATTCATCCCCGAGCCCACATGCCCGAATTCAGGAAATTTTTGAAGAAAATCATTACCCATAACCTTAGGATCAAGAATATATGATTTCTATAATATTCTATAAAAAAATTCGTGGTTAAATCTCATTTATATCAAAACCCTAGATTTTACTCTAAACCCATAATTTTCACTAATTTAAATATTGTAATTTATCCATGAACTACGTATTAAACTCACATTAAGTAGAAATGACTTACCTCACAAAGCTATGTTGAAATCTCCCCTTTTGAAGCTCCCAAATCGCCCAAGAATGGAGTGAAAAGTGCCAAAAATGACAAACTCCCATATTAAATGAAGGCCACTGCCTTTAGCAATTTCCGCACCTATAGTGCGTTGACCGCATCTGCGGTCTCACTTCTGCAGGAGGTTGTCCGCTTCTACGGAAATGGGTCGGGCCAGCTGGGGCCGCATCTACGGTCGGGTGACCTCTCCTGTGGTTTCGCTTCTGCGGCAGAGGAGTTGCATCTGCGGAACCTGGGTTCCTACCCTTGGGCCACATCTGTAATAGCTTAACCGCTTCTGCGGGCTCGCACCTACGGCTGGCCAACCGCAGGTGCGGTTATGACAGCAACTGGAGCTTCAGCTCCTTCTCAAATTTTCAACTTAGCTCGAGCCTCGTCCGATTGATGCTCGGGGCCCCCGCAGCCCCGCCTGAACATACGGACAAGTTTGGAATCATAAAACAGACTCGATCAAACCCTCGGAATGCCCAAAACAACATTAAAATTAAAAATCACACCCTAAAACCAACTGAATCAAACTTATGAACTTCAAGTTCTTCAATCTACTTCCAATGTGCCAAAACGTACTTATACTACTTGGAATGATACCAAATTTTGCGTGGAAGTCTTAAATGACATTATAGAACTATTGCCGAACTCGGAATTTTGTTCGGACCTCGATATCACAAAAACCCGCTCCAAACCAAATTTAAAGAACTTCAAAATCCTTAAGGAATCAACTTTCACTATTAGGTTCCAAATCGCTCCCGGTTCATCCAAAACTCGATTGGGACATACACCCAAGTCCAAAATCATCATACGAACCAGTTGGAACCTTCAAATTCCGATTCTGAGGTCATTTACTCGAAATGTTCACCGAAGTTAAACTTGGCCTTTTAAGCCAACCTTAAGGAACCAAGTATTTCAATTTCAACCCAAAATCTTCCAAATCCAGAATCAATCATCCCCTCAAGTCACAAAATCAGTAAAAGCAAGTATGGAATGTTGGACAATATAAGCCCAAAAAACCATCGGCCCATTTACAGATGAAGTAGCACATTTGTACATGATACACTATTACATGTAGTAGACACATTTTTGTAATAGCTAGCCACATTTTACTTTTATTTGATAGCCACTTTAACTTGTATATAAACAGAAAGATGTTTCTAGAATAATAAAAAAAAGACATTTTCATTTCAACAAGACCAGATATTTTCTCTCTCTTCGTCTCTCATTCCTTCTTCTCTGATAATGGAGTTTTACATTGTAATCGAGCTTTTCTTTACTTGACATGGTATCAGAGCCAAAGATCAGTATCAGCTCCCTTATGCGGGTCAAGCGATGTCACCCTCGACCTTAGTTTCACAAGTTTCGATTACAAACCCTAATATTCCAAAATTTGGGTTTTTACATATTAATGTGGATGTTGTGGTCGATTTCTTCAAAGATGAAGCTTTTCTGAGTCTATTCATAGAGTTTTGACTGGATCTCAAAGCATAGACAGGTTCTTATTATTTCAGAAGAAGAGTGGTATTATCTACTCTCACTCCTATTTGTTACTGTATATATATGATTCTGGTTTGAAATTTCCTTAGAAAAATCATTTGATTTTAGAAATACTAGCTGCTATCATGACCATAGATACTGAAACTACGTCTTCGACCACTTCATCTAAGGGCTTTGCTACTTTTAGTCTAGATCATTCTCACCCTTTCTATGTTCATCCATCGGATAGTCCTGGTACTCATTTAGTTTCTCCTCCGTTTGATGGCACTGGTTTTGTTGCATGGAGGAAAAGTATGCTCGTTTCTCTGTCTGCCAAAAATAAATTGGGCTTGATTAATGGTCGGCATGATAAACCTTCAGTAGATTCTCCTTATTATCCCTTTTGGGAAAGGTGCAATGACATGGTGATCGCTTGGATCACCAATTCTCTCTCCAGGGATATTGCTACCAGTGTATTGGGGTACGACACTGCTAGGGAAATCTGGTTAGATATAAATGAAAGATTTGGACAGTCTAATGGGTCTAAATTCATCCAGATTCAGAGGGAGATTGGAACTATCTCTCAAGGGACTTCAGATATTTCATCTTATTTTACTAAGTTGTAAAGTCTTTGGGATGAACTAAGTACTGCATATGTGGGTCCTGTTTGTTCTTGTGGTGCCTTGCCTAAATTCATTGAAGAACTCAAGCTCTTTTGGTTCTTAGCTGGTCTTAATGAACTTACTCTACAATTAAGAGTAACATTATTATGATGTCTCCACTCCCTACTATTAGTAGAGCTTATTCTATGTTACAACATGATGAGAAACAGAGGGAATCTTCTCACACACCAGGCTTCTCAAATGAGTTAGTCTCTTTCTCTGCATCTTCTGCTCCTTCTGGTAATCAGAAAAGTTTTTGTCAAAGAGTTCAGTTTGAGTCAAGGAATCCTGGGCAAGGTGTGGGGGTTTCATGCAAGTATTGTAAAAAGTCAGGGCACATCATTGAGAAGTTCTACAAACTGCATGGGTTTCCTCCTGATTTCAAGTTCACACAGTCAAAAAGGTCTGCTTCATGTGTTCATGCTGACACTTCATCCATTGAGTCTTCAGTTCAAGCTTCTCGTTCCCAACCTGGGACTTCATCTACTCATGGTTTAAGCCAGGAGCAATATCAGCAACTTGTCTCTCTCCTACAGCAAGCAAATATTACTCCTGGTACCAACAACAATGGTTCTTCTGAAGAAACTTTTGGCTTTGCTAATTTTGCAGGTTTGTTGAAACGTTCTGTGGTTAATTTTGTTGATTTTCATGTTTGTGCATATTCTCAATTAAGTGATAATACTTGGATTTTATATTTTGGGACTACTAACCACATGACACCTTATAAACAGTTTCTTCACAACTTAAAACCATTACCAGCCATTTGTAATCACTCTTCCTAATGGATATAAAGTCAAGGTTGTTTCAACTGGATCTTTACACCTTAGGGCTGACATAACCTTGCATAATGTTCTTCTTGTACCTTCTTTTCAATTTAACTTGATCTCAGTATATCAACGCCTTCTTCAACTTAATTGTCTTGCCATACTTATCATTTCTACTTGCTATTTACAGGGCCCTTCTCTGAAGAGGCCACTAGAAATTGGTAAAGCTACTAATGGTCTGTATTTTCTCCACCTTGATGATACTGCTTCACCATCTTTGTCAGTTCCATCTACTGCTTACAATGTTTCTAATTTTACTGCATCTTCATCTCCTATTTTTAATAATCACTCTTGTAATGTTTCTACTTTTGCACCTAATCTTGTAACTCCTCTTCCCCTTACTCTCCATTGTAATTCAATTTTTAGTATCAATAAAATTGATCTGTTTTGGCACTAGAGACTAGGCCACATACCTTTTGGTAGAATGAAGTCTTTTTGTTTCCAGCAAGGTTTCTTCTAAATAATTTTTATTTGCTCTATTTGTCATATGGCTAGACAACAAAGATTACCATTTCCTGATAGCTCCATCCACACATCTGCTCCTTTCTAATTAGTACACATTGACATTTGGGGACCCTACAATACTAATACCTATGATGGTTTTAAATACTTCTTGACTTTAGTGGATGACTTTACTAGAGTCACCTGGACTCATCTTCTCTCATGCAAGGGTAATGCTTTGTCTGTTATTAAAGCCTTTACCTCTATGGTAATCACACAATCCACACTTTAGTTCAAAGTTTTAGATATGATAATGCTTTTGAACTTGGTACTAGTTCTGAGGCCAAATCCTTCTTCTCTTCCCAAGATATTTTACACCAAACCATCATTCCACACACCCCACAGTAAAATGGAGTTGTAGAAAGAAAACATAAACATCTACTGGAAACATCTCGAGCTTTATTGTTTCAATCTAACTTACCCTCCAAATATTGGGGTGATTGTGTCTTAACTGCTACCTACTTTGTCAATAGATTCTCTTCTACTATTTTGAATAATATTTCCCCTTATGAAAAACTTCATGGTCACCCTCCTTTCTATGATCACCTCAAGTCTTTTGGTTGCTTATGTTTTGCCACCTCACCTAATCCTGGGAGGGATAAGTTCCAATCTATGGCCATTTCTTGCATCTTTCTTGGTTATCCTTGTAGAAAGAAAGGATACAAACTCTTGAATTTATCCACTCATTCTATTTTTTACTCTATGGATGTTGTATTTCATAAGTTTATCTTTCCTTATGCTTCCCCTTCTTCTCCTATTTTCACAACTCCATCTCCTGAATTTGTTGACATTCCTTCTCCTACCTCTTCTTCCCCATCCGTGTCCACTTCCTCCTCTTCTCCAGGTTTTGCTCCTATTTTTACTCCTCTTCCTACTCTTCCCTCCTCTATTACACCTTGTGCTTCTCTAACCCTTAGGAAGTCTCTTAGGGTGAGTAATCCTCCTCCCTATCTTTCTGATTATGTCTGTTCAAATGCTCAATATTCTGCCCCTCTTAATTCTAAGTTATCCACTGCTGAACTGCACTTGCATAAGCCTCAGTTTTACCAACAGGCTGCCTCCCATCCTGCTTGGCAAGAGGCAATGCTAAAGGAATTTGAAGCTCTTGAGGCTAATTAAACTTGGAACATAGTCCCTTTTCCTCTCAACAAGATGCTCATTCCTTGCAAATGGGTATATAAAATCAAGCAGAAGTCTGATAGTTCTATTGAGAGGTACAAGACTAGGTTGGTGATTAGAGGGGATACTCAGAAAGAGGGCATTAATTACAATGAGACCTTTTCCCCCGTAGTTAAATTCACTACCATTAAATGCCTCCTCTCCCTTGCTGCCAAAAAGGGTTGGATAATTTACCAACTAGATGTTAATAATGCTTTTCTCCATGGGGATCTTGATGAAGAGGTATACATGAAAATTCCCCCTGGCTTGCAAGTTTCTGCTTCTTATACACAGTCTTCCTCTACTTCTCCTCTAGTTTGCAAGCTCAAGAAGTATTTGTATGGCCTCAAGCAGGCTTTTAGACAGTGATTTTCTAAGTTGTCTGAAGCTTTGCTCTCTAGAGGCTACATTTCTAGCAAAAATGATTATTCCTTATTCACAAAATATGTTGTTGGTTCTTTCACTGTGCTGGCTATGTATGTTGATGATATTTTGTTAGCCGGGGATGACATTTCTGAGTTGGACAATGTCAAAGCCTTCCTAGATGCACAATTTAAGATTAAAGATTTGGGTTCCATTCACTACTTTTTGGGTCTGGAGGTCTCTCACACTTCTTAGGGGTTTGTCATGAGCCAACAAAAGTTTACTTATGATCTGCTAGCTGAATTTCAGTGTCAGAATTTCTCTTCTATGTTGACACCTCTTAATTCTTCCATCAAATTGGTTGCTGACATGGGAGAACCATTATCTGATCCCACCACTTATCGGAGGATCATTGGGAAGTTGCATTTTCTTCAACATACCCGGCCTGATATTGCTTTTTATGTGAAACACCTTAGCCAATTCTTGTAGGCTTCTCAAATTTCTCATATGATGGCTACTATCCATGTTCTTAGGTATTTGTCTGCTGCTCCTGATCTTGGTATCTTACTATCCAACTCTTCTGATTATTCTCTCCTGGCCTATGCTGATTCTGATTGGGTTGCTTGTGCCCAGTCTCGCCGGTCTGTCACTGGTTATTACATCACACTTGGTGGTTGTCCTATTTCTTGAAAGAGTAAAAAAGCAGCCCACCATTTCATTATCTTCTACTGAGGTAGAATACCGTACCTTGCGCATGGTTGTAGCTGAAATTTCTTGGCTGATAAGGATTTTGGCTGATCTTGGGCTGTTGATATCTGCTCATGTTCCTGTTTATTGTGACAGTCAGGCAGCACTTCATATTGCTCGGAATCCTGTTTTTCATGAGCTTACGAAACACATCGAGATTGATTGTCATTATATGTGTGATAGTCTGCATTCTGGCCTGGTTTCGTTTCATTTTGTTCCCAGTTCTGAACAAGTGGCTGACATATTAACCAAGCCTCTTGCTGGTCCTCTCCATCATTATCTATTTGGCAAGTTTGGTGTGGTCTCGCCCTCCAGTTTGAGGGGGGTGTTGGACAATACAAGCCCAATAAACCATCGGCCCATTTACAGATGAAGTAGCACATTTGTACATGATACAGTATTACATGTAGTAGATACATTTTGTAATAGCTAGCCACATTTTACTTTTATTTAATAGCCACTGTGAGCACGTGATTTTTGCCTTACGAAAAACTACTCCAAAATAAATCAAAATAAATTTCTTTTACTGTGTAATTTCTGAATTTGCGTGGTGTTAAATATTTGTTTATGTCCGTAAAATGTTTGCTTTGTTATAATTAAACAAAATTAAAATAAAAATACATGTTTCATGTATATCTAGGATTTAAGTATGCATTTAANGATCCACTTTAAGTTTATCGATATCTCTAGCCCAAGAATTTAAATTTTTAATACCCTATATATACAAATTTTTGGCTCTTTGAATCATTAAATGTTAAATTAGTTGATTATTATTATAAAAATATTACATATATTGTCCTAAAGTTATCACATAGTTTATTTTTCGATACCATACTTGACTTAACCTCAATACAAACTACTCAAAATTGCATTCCAATTCAAATTCGAATATTATATCAGCTTGTTAGTAATAATAATTTTTTTAAAATGACACATAATGTAAAGTAAAAAAAAATATTCGAAGATATTCTTATCTTATAATCTATGTATTAGAGTTGAAAAAAAATATTTGAAATCGATGAGATTAACTTCCAAATTTTTTATACTCAACAAAGATGAAACATAAGAAGAAATTTGTTGTCATCTTTTATTTCTCGTTCTTAGATCTTTCTAACATTTTTTTCAATATTTATTTTCTTTTATCTTATTTTGTATGTCATTATTTATTTTGTTACAAAAAATTAATTTATTTCACTATAAAAGGATGAGTTTTAATAAAAATTGTCTACATATGAACTTTAATTATATTTTTAATCTTTGGTTGAAATTATTTCATATTTTTCTTTTGGCTTTATCTAATTAGCCTAAATAGGTGCTCACCCGACCACTTAAATTAAAAATTGAATGATGTACAATTTATATATAATCCATATATAATATATGTATAATAGTGTGTTGTCGGCATATCATCTATTTATATTAGCTATAAAAAAGTAAACAATAAATATGGCCGGATATTATGTAAATATTCCATTAGATTTCGGTTTTTTGAGTTTATCCATGATATAACTTCTATTATAATAATTTTAAAACTCTATACTAATGTTCAAAAATATCATATCTTTTTATTATCTTTGAATAAAAAAAAATTAAAGAGTTTTTTCGAAATAATTTGTTTACATTTAAAAAAAATCACGTCATACCAATTTTTTCTTTACATATACTCTTTGTTACACTTAAAAGTCGCTATAGAAACTATCAATTAGAAACCAATTTATCTCTTGTTGAGTTTGAAAAAAAAAACCTTTCACATAATCTAATGATTCAAAACTAATACTCTTCAACGAAAAATATATTATACCCTTGCAATATTGGCTTGACTACAACTAAATGAAGGGGTTTCAGCTTAAACCCTTCAATTCCTTAAATGTGCTAAATTGAAATTAATGATAGCAATTGTATACCCAAAGTTTTGTTATTTGTTTGATGTCCATTTATGCAAATCAATTTTTCAAATAAATATTCTTTAAGAAGAAAAAAGAAACAACTTTTTTTTAATATTGACTGATTTTGTGATGCTTCTTTCTCTAGCATGTATGTTTACTTTATTATATATGTAAGTAACCTTTTATTTGGTTTTATAATTTTTTTTTGTTATTTAGATAAACATAGACGTGTACCTTATATATTATATTTATTTTAAAAGAATTTCATTTTATTCAAATCTAGCTACAGTGTTTCAAAGAACTATTACTTATAGGATTTTAAATGTGAAAGAGTTTTATAGTTATATGAAGTAGATTTTTTTTTGGCTATAGGCGAAGTAGTATTTAAATAATTATAAAAAATAACAAAAGTTCCTAACATAATTGCATATGATCATTAACCGAATTAAGTATGATAACATGTTTAAAAAAAAGATAAATTTTATTTTTAATTAAATTCGATTTTTAGAACTTTATCTATAAATTCAAAATTATCTTTTAATTCAAATTCCGTACACACACACGCGCTCACACGCACACACACACACACACACACACACACACACACACACANGCTTGTCACTTGGTTTAACCATAATGTCAATTATATATGATAACTTTCTTGCTTTAATATATATATATATATATATATATATATATATATATATATAGATAGATAGATAGATAGATAGATAGATAGATAGATAGATAAACAGAAAGATGCTTCTAGAATAATAAAAAAGAAGAAAAGACATTTTCATATCAACAAGACCAAATATTTTCTCTCTCTTCATCTCTCATTCCTTCTTCTCTGATAATGGAGTTTTACATTGTAATCGAGCTTTTCTTCACTTGACATGGAAAGTCTTATTTAGGGGAATGGGGTTCTTGAAAGAAAAACGACCAGTCAGATCGTTACATCTATTAGTTGAAAAATTATTTAAAGGACGTTATATAACGACCCGGCTGATCATTTTGAATAAGTACAACCTCGTTTCTCCATATACTGCTAAATTCATGCTTCACGGTTCTTATGTAACTTGCCGGAGAAATTGGTCCGGGTTCGGAAAAGTTTTGAAAGGAATTGAGACACTTAGTCTCCAAGAAGAGAGCTTAAGTTGAATTATATTGATCGGAAGGTGAAATATGAGTAAACGAATCCAGAATGAATTTTTGATGATTTCAATAGCTTCGTATGGTGATTTCAAATTTAGTAGCGTGCCTAAAAAATTATTTGGAAGGTTGTAGTTTAATTAAGCTTGAAATGGCGAAAACGAGAAGTTGCAGTTAGGAAGTTTGACCGAGGGGTTGACATTTTGATATCGAGATCAAAATCCGACTTAAGAAGTTGGAATAGCTCTATAATGTCATTTATGACTTGTGTGCAAAATTTGGGGTCAATCGGACTTGATTTGATAGATTTCGGCGTTGTTTGTGAAATTTGAAAGTTTCTAATTCCTTAGGCTTGAACCCGAAGTGGA